CCCTCCAGGCAGGCTGGGAAGTGCGGTGGCCTTTCCTTCCCTTCTCTTCCCTTTCCCCAGGCTGATAAACATGGGCATTCACCTTCTGCAAGACGAGGAACAGGAGGTCCGGCACGAGGCCTCAGGTTTTGCCAGCCTCCTGCGGCAGGACGCCAGCGAGCCGCTCCGAGACAGCTGCGTTTTTGTGCAGGACAACATGGGCCTCCAGGGCCTCCTGCAGCTCCTCCTGGCAGAGTTTGGGGAGCACCCTGAAACCTTCAACTTGCTGCTGCAGCATCTCCCCATCCTAGATCTCAGGGCCATTGTGGAGGAGCTGGAGGCCAACAAGTGAGTTGCCAGACCCCTGGGCTGAGTACAAGGGAGTGCGGAGGGCCATGGGGCCGGCCCTCAGCTTCACCTGCCCCTCGGCTTTCCCCCGCAGAGCTGCCAGCCTGTACAAGGAGGATGAACCCAACGTTTTTGCAGAGCCGGCCGTCCTGGCACGGCAGCTGCTCCCCGTCCTGCTGCAGCTCCTGGAGAAGGCACCCGCTGGCAGCCCGCTCCATGCCGCAGCTCTGCGCTGGCTGGCAGCCACAGGCCCCAGCGTCCTGCACGACCTGCGGTACTGCAAGCACCGCTGGAGCCAAGGTACGGCGCGGGGGGGGGGGAGCGGGGTGGTGCAAAGGCCCTGGGACAGGCAAGCTGGTGTCCTTGTCCCCTGGGCCAGCTCTGCCTGGGGGAGGACCCTGCTGCGCTCACAGCTCCTTCGCCCACTCTCTCCACAGAGACTGCTGCCCGCTGGGGGATGAAGGCGCTGGGCTGTGCCAAGCTGCATGTGGCCGTGGCCGTACTGCTAGTGAGGGCCCGGCTGGCGGCACAGGTGCTGCATGTGCTGGGGGAAAGCGCCGCCGCCGTGCCGGGGCTGGGCTGCAGCGCCCAGGAGCTGGAGCAGGAGCTTGAGCTGGTGCAGGGGCTGCTGGCACGGCACGGGCTGGCCCCCACGCTGAGCCAGGATGATGTGCTAGGGGAGCCGAGACCACTGTCCGGGGCTGCCTGATGGCTCCAGGCATGGAGCAGCATCATGCCAAGCCCTGCAGCCACGAGGCTCCTGGTTCACGCTGCCACGTCCCTCCATTTGCCAGATGCTCTCTCTGGCTGCCAGCCTGGACTACAAGTTTGGTGGTGTAACTCAGGGAACCCCACTTGCCACGTGGGACACGCTCCCTTTGTTCCCAGTGTTTTGTAACTCTCCATCCCGAGGACACCAGTGCAGCATTGCCTTGGCCCGTGCCTGCACTGCTGCCCACAGCATCGCTGCCCTCGGGTCCAGCTGGGAGGAGGGGACATGTGCCCTGGAGCCCTCACACCTCCTTGCGCTGCTTGACTCCCACCACCTTTTTTTTAACCAACATTTTAGCTCTTCTTTCGTGGCCAACCTGGGCTTCTATCCCAAATAAAGAGGCCAAGAACATCCCCAGCGTTGAAGCCTTCTAATTTCCCTGCTCAGGAGGGCATCATGGGGCAACAAATGGGCAACAGCCACCAGCTGCAGCCGGGTACATCCAAACCCCAAAGCAAACAAACAAAACCCCCACAAGCACCCAGCCCCGCAGGTGCAGCCCACCAGCTCACGGCTGCAGGCAGCAGACAGGCAGGTGAAGACCCAGCGCCTGGCTGAGCCCCACGGGCACTGGAGCCACCCTGCCCCGGTACCAGGCCCGCCCCAGCACGGAACAGAATGTGGCCACATCCGCTTCCCCATGCCGTCTGCCTGGCACCGGCCCGGTGGCAGCAAGGGATCCTGCCAGGCGTCTGGGCTTGGGGAGCACCGGGGGGACACACACCACCATCAGCACCCCCGGGGGCAGCCAGTCTTGCTGAGCCCCAAGCAGTGCCACAGCCCCGGCTCGGCGTGCCCCAGACAGGGGGATGGAGCAGTGCTTGGCGTGAGCACACCCCGACCCATCATCCCTCATCCTCACCCCCTCCTCGCCCGCCGGCAGCATGAGCATGACCAAGCCAAAGCACATCAAGTTCTCCGAGGAGAAATTCCTCATCCTGGAGGAGTTCAGCCTCCGCAAGGACATCATGATCCCCAAGAGTGGCTGGTACAAGAACACGCTGGCCTGGCAGCGTGCCTGGGAGGAGATCACGGCCGCCATCAACTCCCTCAGCCTCCTGGTCCAGTGCATGCCTGATGAGATCTGCAAGAAGTGGCACAACATTGACGCCTGCAGGGAGCTGGCCGTGGAGAAGCACTCGCTGCTCTGCCAGCGGCCCCAGGAGGAGCTCTTCCACAACGTCTTCACCCTCTTCAATAAGCCTGGCCCGGGGCTGCCAGACCCACTGCTCTCAGCCTCGGCCTCCAGAGCGAGGGCAGCCACGGGGCGGGGCTGCCAGACCCACTGTGCCTCGGCCTCTTCACCCTCTTCAATAAGCCTGGCCCGGGGCTGCCAGACCCACTGTTCTCAGCCTCGGCCTCCAGAGCGAGGGCAGCCAGTGGCCCTCCCCATCCCCCCTGGATGCTGGAGGTCACCCTGGACTTGCTCCTGCACGGCCAGAGCAGCACTGCCACCCTGTGCTGGGGGCTGCTCTGCCCCACAGGGGCCCCGCCAGTCCCTGACCCCATGCTGGAGAGCCTCCTTGGTGCAGCTGGCGGAGAGCCCGACTCCAAGGAGAGCTTGCTCCTGGCAGGAACCCAGGCCAGTGTGGAAAAGAGACTGACACCTCCTGGCATGGCCCCTGCAGCCCCCAACCTGCCCACGGCTGAGATGCTCCCAGTGGCAGCTCCCCGTCTCACCTCACCGCAGGGCCATGGTGCAGTGGGGATAGCCCCGGTGCTGCCAGCCAGCTCCCCCGAGCCCCCCACGCCCTTTCGCATCAAGTGCTCGCCGAGCCCAGCACTGGTGTGGCCGTGCCTCGGCACGACAGCGAGCCTGGCGATACAGAGCAGGGCGACGGGCAGCCCTGGCCCCCTGGCCCCGGAGAAGAACGGTGAGGTGCCCACGTCGCTGCTGGACTCTGCCCTCCTCCCTAGCACCCACCCAGCTGGGCAAGCCGGACCCTTGCCACGGTTCCCAGCCCCGTCCCCAGGCCGGGTGGGTTGCAGAGCTGCAGCAGCCCTCCCCAGGCAGCGGCTTCTTTGCTGTGGACAAGCTGACCAAAACCCACATTTTTCCAAGAGAAAAGCCCATTTGCTTTTCCTGCCTGTTCCAGCTCCCACACTGGGGCAGCCCTGCCCTGCCCTGCCCTGCTCCCACCGGCCGCTGCAGCACATGGAGGAGGCTGGGGGGAAAGGCCAAATCCTGCAGGGTTAAGCTTTTGGGAGGTTGCGGTACAGTTGGCAGGGAGCGGGCCTGGGGTCTGCTTTCAGCATCGCCGACCCATCCCGGCAGCCTGGCATCCCGAAGCGGCTGGGCCGGGAGGCCCACGCAGCAATGGCAGGGGCAGTGGTGGGAGAGAAAGGGCAGGAGCAGGCGGTTCCCCGCAGCTCCACGTCCCCTTGCTGGCTCTAATGCGTTTCTCTGCTCCGCTCAGGCAGCCCTTCGGCGCCAGAGGTGTCCCAGCCCAGCCTGTGGGGCCATGTCGGCACAGCCGGGGAGTGGTGGGAGAAGCAGAGCCGGCTGCAGACAGCGATCCTGGAGCTGCAGAAGGAGACCCTGCAGCTGTAGGAGAAGATCTTGCTGGAGAAGGAGAAGCTCCTCCTGGAAATCATCAGACTCCACATGGAGCTGGGCACCTGACAGTCCTCTGCAGGCGCTGGGGCAGCCCAGGGCCATGGTCCCCACTGCGGGGATGGGGATAGCCTGCTCGCCCTGGGGATGGTCACTGGCTGCCCACCTGCAGCCAGGGTCCCACGGGATGAGGCTGGGACAGCAGTGCCGTAAGCTGCCCTCTCCTTCTCACCTTGTTTCCCAGACCCAGGGCTGTGCCCACCTTTGGCTCCCTGCTGCCTGCCTGCACGCCCTTGGCCAGCCCAGCGAGAGCCAGCCCCAGCACGGCGTGTCATCCTGCCACAGGAGCCTCATCCTGCCAAGGCTAGGGTTTGGATGGGTGCGGGCACGGCCACCCTCCGCTGCCACCCACTTCTCCTCCGGCCCCTTCACTCCCATTTCCCTGGGGGTGTTTAACAGCTCGGAGCTCCCCGGGTGTCTCGGCCGCAGCAGCGTGGGGCTCGGGCACCGCCGGTCGCTGCGGGCAGGCGTGTCTGAATAAAGGTGATCTCTGTGGGACAAGCACCTAGTGCTGTGCCTGGCAGGGGTGGGACTGAAGTCACCCAGGGGGTGGTTTTGGGGGTGCAGGCAGGTGCTGAGGCCACCAGCACAGTGTCTCGGCTGTGGGTACCACCAGCAAGGCTGGACCGGGGACCTCACCAGCGAGGTCACCTCATGCTGGATGAGGAGTGGGGAATGGCACCAGTGCAGCCCAGCATCGCCTAGCCCGGCCCCGCTCCCTCCAGTGGGGGCTGCCGAGCCCCGTGGCTGGACCCAGGCACCCACCAGCATCATCGCCCACATGCAGACTTTGGGTGCCTACATTTAATATGTCTCTGCAAACCACAGCACGCAGCTGAGCCACCCTTCACGCCTCGCCCAACAGCTCACTGCAGTCGGGCCGGCCCGAACGCAGAGAGGGAGGATGCTATCTCCATCCTCGTGTTGCTCTCCAATGGCAGCTCGTTGCATGGCGTGATGTCACGGCTGAGCATGACATCATCACGTCATCCTCCCATGTCACCACCGCATCATCTTCTCACCCAGGTTTAACCTCAGTGTGATGTTCTTCCACCATTAATCACCATACTTTAGCAATTCCCTTATTTTTAATCTTTATAAGCAGCGTTTTCTTCCCATTCTTCAACAAAATACTTAACGGAAAATGCAGGGAGTCAGCTCCAAGGGCGAGCAGCAAGCCTGCAGAAGGGTGAAATTATAAAAGACACCACGTTTTTATTTCATCCCCCGACTCCCCAGCAAGGAGCAGTGGCCCGGGGAGGCTCAGCTCACCTTCCCAGGGGGATGCTACACGAAGATGAGAGCCGGCGGGGGGCAGACACAACCCTCCTCCAGCCCTTCCTGCACCCACGAGCCCTGGCACCCCGCCACGG